TAATACGATAATATTGGTAATGTATACAATTGATTGAGTCTTCTAATACAATCTTATCTTACTGAAATGTTTTAGCATGTACTTTTAATAATTAAGCTACATTCAATAAAAAATAAAATTAATAATTATTATCTTAGAGATTTTATCGGTAAGTAACATTGAGAGTATTTTGGTCATAATACAATGAAATTTATATAAGCTTTTTTATGAGAATTACCTAAGTAGCTCTCAAGTATTATCTAATGAATATTTTTATGTTCATTGGAATGTTTACATAATCACAGAATAATAATTGTAATTTTATTTGTATATAAATATTTTGTGTTATTTCGCTAGTCATAGAATTTATTGTATTTTATTCATTTGTTTATCTGTCACGTATCCTAAATGTACTAGAAAAATAACAAAATGTTTTCTTAATGATATTGTTATTTTATTATGTAAATATATTTTGATGGAAATTGTAATTCCAAAAGTAATTTAAATAGTATATGTGTATGTATTATGTATGTATTTGTGTACATTTTATTTTATGAACTATCTCAATTTTAATTTACTCAACTTTTTTAATAGCCTCATTATATTCAGGAAGAAATTTCCAATGTGCGATAGCATTGATTAATTCATCCTACATATTTTACGGTTATTGACTACAAATTAGCGATGGTATTAGCATACATACTTGTATTTATACATACATAATAATATACTTTACAAGGCAATCACAAAATTGTTAATTGTTTTATATTACCATTTTAATGTGATTGAAATAAAGATTATTTTGTTTTATTTATAAGTCCTCCAAGACTTATATTTTGCCAGTTTGCCTGTTAAGAAAAAAACAAAATTTTATTTTTCAAATTTCATAGAATCAACAGATATAGATTACAACAAAATATCGAAAGAACAAGAGTATTTCGCATTTTTGCTAGATTATATAATTACTAAATATATAATTACGTTCAAATTATATCTACTTTAAAAATAAGTGATATCAATATTTTTTATAATATTAAAAAGTATTTATTTATCTATGTTTAATTTTATCTAAAATTATTAGAAAAAGAGGTTCCATTTTTTACGATTTTGTTTCGATGTCACATGATCACGCGAATCGTGTATTCTCCATGTTTTAAATAAATTCTAATTCTTATTGAAATTTGTCGAAATGTTTCGTTACTTACCCCTATACCGGTTACCCATCCTGTTCCAGCTGGATTTTCACAAGTAACACCGATTCTTCTACAAATAATACCGGCTCCCGAAATTGCCCAAACTTGTCCTTGCTCCCTCGAAACAGATACATGTCGAAATCCTTGCTTAGCGTTTACTACTGACATATCTACGAATGTTGAAACAAAACATGTGATTTAATTTCAAATATTGAATCGTGATAAACTTACGACAAAGAAATTAATAAATTTATTTAAGAACTATTTAAGAACTTATGACATTTATGTGATACCTATATGAATAGGATCGTTTGGCATAGCAGGTAATGTCTGCCAATGAGTTCCTTCGGGAAAAACATTGGATTGTACTTCTCGACGCACTGACAATCGACCCATTGTATCTAAGGCCCATACCACATCGTGCCCTACCGAAATTTGTTTCAACTGAGCACTTGAAGGTGGTTCGACATTTTGCCATTGTATACCTGTATTTGTACAAAATCATTTATCATTTATTTTAAGTTTTTATCAAATATGTTAAACTATTAGATAAGAGATCATATGCTACTATGTATGTTTTTCGTGATAACAATTTGTAAGTTTCACACCAGTTGGTTTTGTAGCACTAATGCCTAGTCTCCAACAGGACGAGCCATTCTTTCCAACAGCCCAAACTTGTCCACACGGACCACACGATATACTAATTAGGGGCTGATCACTCGGTATATGCTCCCACGATACTCCCTATTTGATCCGTAAGATTAATTATTTATTATATATTACAAAAAATTATTTATTATATGTTATACAGAAGTACAAATATAAAAAGTACAAATATCGTTACAACGCACATGCGTGCGTATACACATAATAACTCATCAAAAACGCATATATTCATACATACTTTAATTACTTAAAATCTGACATGTACACGCGCGCGCGCGCATGTGTGTATGTGTGCGTGTGTGTGTATGTGTGTGTCATACATTATATTATATACAAGAAAATATATAAGTATAAAAATAGTCGTACCATTGGACAAGATTCTGAAACACCTCGTCTGAATAAAGCCTCACCATTTGCAGCAACTGCCCAAACGTGAATAGGACTATCTGTGCCAGGTTCTCCAGTTGCCTGTGATAATTATAAATAAAAAAAATGTTGTGTCAAAGTGTTGAAAGATAAAAAAACAATGATAAAAAAACATACATATAAAGAGACATGAACGAGTTTGGTATTTCCCAATTCTTGCCAAGGTCCACTAGTTGTTAGTTGACATCGTCTAAACCATCGCCTTCTTCGAACATAATCGGTAAATTGTTTCTTGCCGTGATATTGCGACGGGAAATCAGTAGCGTATTGCCATCCATCTCTATCAACACCACCGGGTGTGTGAAAATCGACGATCCAATCTGACACCTTTGAAAAATCAGTATTTGTATTTTAATTCATAAAATACAACAAACATATTGTAATAACAAATATTGCCTATTAGTAATAGTTTATTAAAATCATGTAAACAGCTAGTTTCGAATCATTTTCAAGAAGAGCATCTTTTTTCACGTACTTACCCAATGCCAATGCATAGACAATAATTTTGTATGCTCTCGCGTACATTTATGTCGTCCAGTTGCGTCGCTCCACATGTAACGATCCGTTGGAAGTCCATGCGCGGTATATCCAGTTACGGGATTCCAACGTTGATTTTCATACACATAATAATTTTGCGTATCCACCATCGTATTTATTCCAGTATTACTAGTTCCCAGGCCTATGTAATTTCTTTTACATTAACAATTTGTGCCAAATTAAAAATATATTAATTCGGTATAAATGCTTTTTTCTCCTTTTCTCTATGTAGTGCAAAATATCTACTATATATTTCATTATAAAATTCAATATTATATACCTTTGAGAAATGCACCTCCCCAACCACCTGTATATACCCAAGCGGTATTATTGTAGCCGATACCCCAAGTGACACCTACAGAACATGTCTCAACTTTCTTTAAATGCCCACCAATTTGTCTCCAAAACATTGTGCTAGGTTCAACAATTATCTGTATAAAAAAATAAAATATTTTCATTAAATGCAAAAGTAATATGCAAAGATATCACATATAAAGACAAGCAATCACTATGACAAAACATTTTACTCACGGAAGTAGATTTATATGTAATATTACACAAAGTCAACAATCCCTTGATACGTAAATGCGTAATAGTGGTCGGAGGTAATCGGTGACTATAAAAAGTATATTCGTTATCGTTAATACGAATTCTATAACCGCATTCTTCGCAAACAATATATAATGTGAAATCACAGCCTGCTTTCAATGGACTACCTCCATTTCTTTCCTCATCTCCCCATTGACCATTCTGATATGTATTCCGTACAATAATATTTTCTTTGAGTCTTGGATTAAAATGCAAAGCGACGTCATGACTGTCTGTCACAGTTTTTTGTTTCACGAATGTCGTAGTATAACAGACGAGATTAAAAGACAATCTGGAATGAAAAATTACAATTAATGCAGTCTGCACGAATCTTTCCGCAATGTGAATAAAAGATATACAGCTGTTAGATTTGTCTAATTCACCTGTCAGCGTCATCGTGAACGCATACTGTAATTTTTAAAGTACTACCGTATCCGAAACCATTTTGTAATATGCTTTCAAACGGTAGATCTTTACCAGCAACATCGATTTCTTGTACGTATCCGTCTTCGGATAATTGGCATTCCTACTCGCAACAAAACTGGAGTAACAAAGGTTTCTTTGCGATTAATATAGATATAAAATATCATGTCTGCCTTACCTCTGCAATCGCAGGATCAAATACATAAACATCACCTAACGCAGTTGTGGTCCAAATGGAGTTCGGACCAGGTCTACCATATACATTATTTATCTGGCAAGATACTGAAAAAGAATAAAATAAAAATAAATTTTTCTTCACGATCGTGATGTGTATTTGCTATACAGCTTACATGTCTGTCCTCACCTGAAGTTAAATGCGCCAACCAGTCTTCCATCTCCGTATCACTTGCGAATTGTAATCTAATTACTTTTGTACGATTTAATTTAGGAGTATGTATCGCTATTCTTGGATTACCTGGCTCACTACAGCAAACAACACATGTGATCTCCGAGACAGGAAATTGTATCTGCAATATTATTATTTTTCGCTATGTAACATCTAGAACTATAGGTTATAAAAATATTTTCGAATTATATTGGAATATAACGTACTATGCTTGTTATACCGTCTGAATTTAATATTATTAAGGTTCCGGAATCTAACGATCCAATATCGCTACTTATCCATTCTAATTCAATCTTACAATCTTCATACAAGCTGCCATTTTTAATTTTACATTTAGCATCGCCGTTCTTTACCCAAGATGATCTGTAACAAACCGTTAAATAAGAAATGATTCATAAAGCTATATATTTTTACCGATATCTATTACTCACTTTTCAATTGCTTTCTCATATGTTATTGAAGAATCAAATGGCATTTTCTTTAATCTCGCTTTTAATTCATCTAAGATGTTTATTCTCCATAATTCTCCTAATTCCCCTTGTGTTGTACCGTTGCCATCGGTAATCCTATCCAATTAAAAATAATACGAATGCAGTTTCGGCGCAATTTAAAAATTTCAATATTAATTATATTGATGGAAATAATTAAGATGAGATTATACAGCATATAAATAAAATTCAACATTCTACCATTTTGGCGGATTTGTTGGATCAACAAAACATGCCCCAGCTTCTACTTTGTACCACATCACATCGCACTCAGCCCAATATATTATCCCCGCGCTTTCATCTTCGCCGTATACTCCAGAGTCTCCAGTCAAATCTGGATCAAATACACTTCCATCTGTTTCTGGATGTGCTTCAACGCCTACCATGGAACCGACGGAATGAACAGGACTCCAAGCAGCAGGATTAATCTATACAATCGGAATGGACAATTTATCGTAGTCTGTCTGTCTCTCTCTTTCGTTTTTTTTTATGTATTTAAGTAATATTTTATTTACGTTAATCAATATATTTTATAATCTCAATTCCGAAAATATTTTTTAACCTTGACAGTACTGCCCATCCCTTTTCCCGAGACGACGATCGATTCACCACTTTTCGCTAAAGATTCGTTAGATATGGTTATACTTGCAACACTCGCTTCGTTCAGATCGCTCGTGTCCATAGAATTTGCAGATCTGTCAGAAGGAAGAAAAATTTATTTTACTATCATTTTTATAAACATAAATCATTATTCTATTACTCGTTTTTTACTTCTTTTTCTCTTCATTTAGGTATATATCTTGGAAAGATGTTTGTTGAATATTCTTTGCGGATACGCCGTCACCAGTACGTTGCCACAATTTCAGAGATGTGGGTGTTGGTGCCGAACGCGATTGCTCTTCCCATTCTCTGATTAACATAGTACCTTCACCAGTGCTGTGAGGGCGATTCTACAAAAATGTACACAAAATTCAATTAAATATAAAAAAAAATCAAATTTTATCACTTAATTGCATGGGTAAGAATATTGATTCGAACATTGAATGATAAAAAGCATTAATATTCCTACCAATGAACTCCAACTCTGATGACGTTGTTGTTGTGGAGTGCCGCATGTACTATGCCTGTTGCTGGATGACAAACTAGCATTGCTACTTGCTCTACTCAATTGTAGCGGCGCGTTTATTAATTTCCATCGTTTCCCAGTTAATTCGGAACGTGTGATACCAGTACGATAATACAAGCATCGATCGTCACAACCAATAGCCCATACCTGTGTATCACATCAATATCACATCAATATCAAATTAGCAATAAAAAAATTCGATACATAATTTTATATTTTTATTTTGTATACAAATTACGAATCAACTTGATTACTTGGTCATTTGGAGCAACGGATACAAGTGCCATTTTGCTCAACATTTCAACCCAACCGGTTCCAGTAGCCAATTGTTCACAAACACCGCTTATTTCGCCTTGAATGCCCTTTCGAAACCACACTCCACCATCATGTGTTACAGCCCATACAGCATCAGTACCGACGCTAACTTGTATCAATCTCAAATCTTTTTGCGGTGGTTCCACCTCTGACCAATCTTCACCTTTAATAAGTATGTATATATATTGTCTTAATATTCATTATCAAATAAACTAGGACTAGAATATCTCTTGTAGATATTTATTTTATTTACCCATTGGATTGTCTCTTGTTACGCCCGTACGAACTAATGCTTTGCCTACCATAAGCACAGCCCAAACAAGACCAGTCGCCCCGACACTAATTTGACATACTTCATAGCCATTTCCCAACTTAATGGAGCTCCATCTTTGTCCTTCGGGACAGGTTGTACTTGTTCCAACGCGGAACATGACCTAAATAATTTCAAGACAATAATCTAACTTTCCAAATATTCAAAATAATTAGATTATGGATGTATGCTTTCTGAAAAAACTGTAATAGAAATTATACCCTTCCATGAGCTGTTACTGCCCAGACTACTAAACCACCAGAAGTACTTCCAGGCATTTGATTTCCACCCACAGCTACATCAATAAAGGGTTCCTGTAAAGAGAAAATGTGCGGATATGTTCACGTACATATGTGTATTTATATTACATGATTGCATTACTAACATTACAAAAATAAATAAAACATGGCAATATTTAATTACCTTGGTTGGATCTTTGTGTAGAGGTGCGATAGCGCACCATGAATTCATAGCACTGTATCTTCGATAACGCACCCATTTGCGTCTTCTTACGCAAGACTTCCACTGCTTCTTTGTGGTATACGTAGCTGGAAAATCAATTGCGTATGTCCATCCCTATTAAAATATCATTCTCTGTGATCATAAGATTCTCTTTGGGCGTGGGCACAACTGATAACAAATCTATACATAAACAAAATCTTATGAAGAATATAATACACACATGGAAAGCGCAAAAAATATACTTAACATATAATTTTATAAAGAGACAAATAAACATAACATTGAAAAAAAAATAGCTTTTTCGCAATTTTTGAAATCTTGAAATTGTATCTTGAAATTGCAATTTTGCTTATATAAATAATGATTCAAAGCTATCTCTTTGTTCTTTTGAAAGCAACATGTGTGTACTCATATAGTAATTATATATATATATATCCACTTTATGCGTATTAAACATGTCAGATTTTAAAATAAAATAGAAAAGAAGTATGATATGAGCGGTATATACGACAGATTTTTATAAAAATTGAGAAAACTCCATTTACATCATGATCTAGTGGTTGACCATCTAATGTAGTTTCTATTTGCCAATCACCTTCCCATTGCCACGCCATCGATGGCAACTTTACTTTATCTCTACTACGATCGACTGTACCATCTTGATTGGAAAAATTATATCTATCGGTTGGAAGTAATCTTCCGGAAAATCCCTCCAAAGGCAACCATCGCTGGAATTTATTATTAATAATTTTTATCGATTTATTAATTATTTAATTAATTATTATTAATAATTTTGTACTTTTTATTCTTTTTTACTTGCAACAAAGTATCATTATTCAAGAAGAGACACGTACCTCATTTTCATATATTTCCTCCTTAATCCTAATCGGTACATCTAGGCCGTGAACGTGAACATAAACTTGTCGATCGCCACCAATGGCCCACATAAAATGTGGTACAGCTGACAATTGTTTAAATTCAAGTCCAAGGTACATAAATTCACGCCACATATTCCCGGACGTTGACAATCCAAACACACGTCCTTCATTATTAATGGCATATAAATACGAGCTTGGCATTTTAAATTCGACGCAGCTTCACATACATTTAACGTTATCTGTGTAAACAAAAATTTTGCTCCGTTTTTTCAACACGACTTCACTTTTTGTCTTGGCACAACACATTAACGCATTGCATGTAACGTGCTTGCCGAATTGATTTTGCAAAATACACATACACTGATCCTCTCTTCTTCGTAATCGTCGCTTCATAAAATATTCACATTTGTTCACACCATCAGAATTATATTGGAAAGGAGCATGGCTTATACCGCCCGCGTATATATCTCGACATTTAAGACTAGCTATTTCTTTAGAAATTATCGTAATCTCTCGTTTATTACACCACTTTCAAATTTTCACCTTCCATTGTATATTGTATATCCTAATGTTTTTGTTAATAAATCCTAGCGAGGATATCTCTTACTAACAACGAGAATGAAGCTTTTCGATTTGGCACCCGTAAGTACTCATTTTTTGTACATACATTGTTAGATAAGCGTGGATAAACGTCAAACGCAACGTTAAATGTCAAAAGAGAATTAAACCGGGACTAAGTTACGTTGAGTAGAGAAGGAGCTGAATGTATAGATCTCTCTTTGGCACTCTGTGACACTTGCTACTGGAGCACGGTACAGTCGGTGTTGGTCGGTATTTTTTAAACTGGATTAATGCACTCATTGCACTTAAAATGAAATATATATATATTTGAAGTTTGACAAAAGCGAGATATAAGTGCGATCCAGTGGAGGAATAGAAAATCTCATATGTTTTTTTGTTCATAAGTTTACTCTTTTCACTGAACCTTTTGCTCAGTTTGTGTTTTCTCTCTTTCTCTCCAACATGGAGAGAAAAGGAAGAAAGATGAACTGTACATGAAGATGAACTGTACATGAAGTTCAGTTAAAAAGAGCAGATCTCATATGTCACCATGTTCCTCCATGACTGCGTTCAGCAAAGAAAGTAGATCAGTGAGCGTTCAGTGATTCTTTGTTATGATTGGTTTCTATTTAACGAAGATCTAAAGGCAAGGACCAATCATATTGAAAAATCACTGAGCGCTCACTGATCTGCTTTCTCTGCTGAACGCAATCCATGTTAATAATTGAAAATCGAATAATTGGAAATCCGGACTCGAATAGAGGAGTAGTAAGATAATTCAATAATTTTCAGAGTAGATACATTCCTGTCATGTAATATTTTATAATTACATAGCTCGCGATTAAACCTGTGTCGAGTATGCATGCGACTACAGTTGAATGTGCATACGTTTACGAATGTTGAAAAAACTAACCTGCACTCCGCCTGACAATTATGTTAAAGCGTTTATGATTTTATAATAAATAAACGTGTGTTATCAGTAATAGATGTCTTGTGACCTATGTTGATCTAGATCAACCAGAGAAGAAAAAGTTGATAGTAGCAGTCGTCATCCGAGTCAAAGTAGTAGTCAAAGGACAAGTATTTTCATATTTTTGACGTTATTGCCGATGGAATGGGACCTCCACCTGTAGTCACTGGAATATCACCCAAAGAAGGTCCACCTGGCACTCGGGTAATAGTGCGTGGTGAATTTTTAGGAAATAAAGCCCAAGATCTTATAGGTTAGTGCCATTATCATATTTATTCAATTTTTTAAAAATCTATATATCTGTATAATTATCTATATGTCTGTATAACATCTTAATAAATATTTAATTTAAAATTTTCTTGTGTGTGTGTGTGTGTGTGTGTGTGTGTGTATGTGTGTGTGTGTGTGTGTGTGGCGCGCACGCGTGGTGCGTACGTATGCGTGTGATGACTGTCACTCATTAATATATATGAATCCAAGCATATCAATATCAAATTTGGTCCGTTAAGATTGTAAGTATTGACTCTTCTTGTTAGTGAAAAACGTCTATATTTATGCCTATTGCTTTTCTTTTTTTAATGGGAATAGAACAAGCAAGGCAATAAGCATGAATGTTGACATATTATTCGAATTATCAAGCTATATTTAAATTATAAATATCAAACAATGATAATTTAAGTTGTGATAATTTATCAATCTATCAATTACTTCACAGGACTTACAATATGTGGATGCGATTGTCTACTTTCGGCCGAATGGAAATCGTCAAACAAAATTATAGCGAGGTCAGGACCTTGCAAAGGTCGAGGGGATATAATAGTAACAACTCGAAGTGGAGGACAGGGAACCTCGACAGTACAATTCCGTGGCTACCACGAGACTATCGGTCCTATGAAGGAATCAGCAGTATGGGTAGAGGAAGCACCAATGCAGAGTTTGGGCTGGGGTAGAAGGGCATTGTCACCTACAAATTATCAACAAGAAGATCCTTTAGGACTCAGTGTGGAGGGCAATGAGTAAATTTTCAAAGTTTTCTGATTAATCGCAGCTTTATTTATATTTTTATGTTTTATAATAATTGTATTTCATCTTAAAGCAAAAAGTTTCCCGAGGATGAACTGATTGAACTTTTCGGAGATGGGAGCGGAGATCTTACCAGTGAAAAGTTTCATCCAGGATGGTTTTTATTGCAGCATCATCATGCTACGACTCTGGAAGATTTAAAGGCTGGTTTGGCTTATCTCAGAAGAAAAGTCAATTCTCAAAAAGAAGGCCAATTATCATTTTTAAAGGTGAATGAGTAACGTTGAATCAAAACATTTCTGTGTGCACTTAAAATTAAAATTTATTCTTTATTATGAAACAGGCTAATGTAGGAGCGGTAATGGAACAACTCGACACAATAATGTCATTAAAGGATCAATTCGAAGCAGATGTAAAGAGCTATGGCAGTGATCCCACGGAAAAATTGGAAAAAGCTATTAAGCAGTCCATGTCAGAAGCTAATAAATTATTCGATGATGTACTGGCGAGAAGGGATAGAGCCGATGCCACTCGCAACGCATTGGCTGTTATGCAACGTTATAAATTTCTCTTTTGCATGCCAATAAACATCGAAAGAAACATTAAACGTGGCAATTATGATCTCGTGATTAACGATTATGCTAGAGTTAAAAATCTGTTTAAAAATACAGAGGTGGATGTTTTCAAAAAAGTATTGGAAGAAATTGACAATAGAATTAGCAATTTTAAAGTGCTGTTACGAAAAAAATTAGAAGAGATGCCATTTAGTTTAGAGGAGCGTAAGAAGATTATTAGAAACCTTGTCAACCTCGAAGCCGAAGGTGATCCAGCATGGGACGCGATAGGTATATACATCTAAACAAATAGTTTGATTTATATTTAAAACTGGATGTTATTTAAGAAAGTCTTGCACATTTATGACGACTTCATGTAATATCTGTATTATCTTTAAATCAGAAAAAATAATTTCAAACTTCATATTCCAGTTTCACATGCAAATTACTTAGAGAAAAGTATTGCCAATGCCTTGCACGAACATTTGGATGGAGTTAAGATTAATTGCGAAGATGCGAACAAAACATCTAAGTATGTGCCCATAAATATTAAGCATTTACGCTCGCATAAAAATAGCGGAAATAACTCATCACCGCAAATCTCATGTGTCGAAGCAATTTGCGATATTGTGGTCGAACAATTGCCAGATCTATGGAGATTGGGACAGAGTTATTTCACAGGACAGCTACATGTAGCAGTAGATGTGGAGAAGCAAAGTCATTTCAAAGTATGTATCTTACATTTTAAATTTCCTTTTTTTATAAATAAAACGAGAAACAATAATAATACAATAGAGAGCATAGCTCGATGTATGTTTCGTACATTGTTTTGTGAATTTATGATAGAGTTTAGTTTTATCGAATATGCAACATGCCATGGGAGCTATGAAAAATATATGTAGTCATGATGTAGAGGCAAGATGGCTTTTACATATTTTACGTTGCGTCAGGCAAATGTATGCATCTCTAATACATCTGGATTTGCCTAGTGAAGCTCTCGATATTTTTGGATCGTTTATATTGGATTTAAGGTAAAATTGATTCGATTGAGCTACAAATGAATTGCTTGTTTAATTAAATTTTTCATCTTTATCTCAATTTAACTTTTTCTATAATATAGGATACAATGTTTAATCGCTCTTTTCAAACAAGGAGCGGACAATATAATGGCTCTGAATCAAAGAGAAACGTGGCAAATAGAATATTTGAATGAGGATGGTGGTGTTACAAAACTGGTACATCTTACAGTACAGTTTCAGTAGACTTTGCTTTTATTAGGAATTTGTTGCGTCTTAATCGTGTTGTTTCGTATACCAACAGCCATATCTATTTGAGGAAATAGTCCTGACAATATCGAAACACGCGCGGGAAACGGTAGTTGTTTGCGGTCCAAGAGAAGGGCCATTGTTCAATAATCCAACTCATCAGATTCTTTATCATAATACCATTAAGACGTTATTCACATCATTTGCGCGATGCCTACAACAGTTAGCATTTAGTGGTTGCGAGGAAGCTATGGATAACGACGAAACATCGGTTTCGCAGTTGATCGGCTCGCCTTCTGGTTATAAAAACAAAACCAACAAGTATCAAGGTCCAGTAAGTAATAAACTATAAATAGGTTTAGCATTTACGTGATACTTATACGAGTCCGTAAATAATAACTTTTATTTTCACATACATTATTTAAAATGTATAAATTTCTTATCAGACCTGGGAACAATGCCTTTTAATCTCATTAAGCAATATACGATACACTCTAAACACTGTCTTACCAAGAATCGAAGATGCTCTGAAAACGCAAGGTTACCCAGAACTATCTACCGCGGTTGGATGGAAATCGGATTGGACGCAATTGGAGACGTTGGACAGCGCCGTTTTAGACGCGTACTTAGAACGCCGTTGTGATCCACTTGTTGGTACGATAGAACCCAGCATGTACTTGGGTGGTTTGGAATGGGACTTCGATACAGAACCGACCCATCTCAAGCCATATGCTCAAGAAATATTGGCGAATCTAATCGCGGTACACGCGGAGGTAATAAATTGTTATCGCAGTAGTAAAATTCGAGATGTCATTCATTGTTTGTTGTCTCTGATTATTCATAACATCTTTTTGCAGGTACGTCGGGTCGCTCCAGCTCTGTTACAACGAATTCTGTCCCACATAATAGAGACCATAGCGGAGGAACTCGCGCGGCTCATGTCGTGTGTCACGCAATTTCGTCCAGCCGGAATTATTCAAGCACGAACGGATATAATTCTCTTGAGAAATGCCCTGCAAGCCTATAGCACGAGTAGAGCGAGGTAAAAATTGAACATCTAAAAATCGATGGATATCATCTTATTAAAATAGAATCTTTTCTAACTGGAGTCAACTTTCCTAATTCTTCCTAACTTTCCTAACTCTTCCTGTTTCCTAACTCTTCCTTTCTTTTCTATAGAAACTTTTTCGAGGAAGCTCTGGATGCGATACCTCAGCCGATGAACAAGGAAGATCGCATGAGAATAGACGCTCTTTTGTTAAAAGTCACAACCTGTATGCGATTGCAGTTATCGTGTCTTGCCAGTGAGGTAACAGAAAACATTCGTTATTTAACAGCAGATCCAGAACGCGTTACCACTGTATAATTTATAACAATCAATCAAAGTAGTACGTACGATAGTACGATCACGGGGAATTTCTAAATTAATAAGATTTCTATCACTGTTATCATAAACGTATTTAATGCAGTATAATTGTAATATTGTACAATGGAAATATCAAATATCCAACAAATTTATGATTTGATGGATTATTATATATTTTTGTTCACAATATAATTTATTCTCCATTTTTGTATTTTTTTTCTTATTTAGAAGATAATTAATAATTTTTATAATTATCAATATTTACACGCATGTATCAAGTAAAATCCATAAAATTTGTGTTTTTTGTAAGATATATTTGTAATATGCGCAGCACAATAATGAAAATCTTTTCGTATAAAAATTTATTTCATATATCATTGAATAATTAGGCTTTTTTAATCAATTGTAATGTGCCAACATCTGCAGCTAATAATACAGTGTCACCTAAAACGGAAGATACGATGTTACATAGTTATTGAAGAAATTAATATTAATAAAAAAAGGTCTTATGTGCTTTTCATACAACGAAAAATTTTACCTGTTTGAAAAAATTGAGTCGCGCCTTTAGCACCCACAATGCAAGGAAGACCATATTCTCTTGCTACAACAGCACCATGACTTATAAGACCACCCAATTCTGTTACGATTCCAGTTAATAATGTAAAATATGGGCTCCAACCGATATCAGTGCAATGTGTGATCAAAATATCTCCGTGTTGTATATTTTTTGCTTCGGACAGATTGGTTATTACGCATGCTCTGCCTAGCACAGAACCGCCATAAACCGAAGTACCCTCAATTTTTATACTTTCTTTGTAGGATGAGACATCGAAAGTCTCCTGACAACAACATTATGTTAATCTCAATAACACAATGAAAATATATTAAGAAAAATAAAGGAAAAAAATTATCTTTTTATATAACATCTTTTTATATAACATGATAAAGAATTGGCTTGGTTTACCTTGACTCAATCATTCTTTATATTTATAACAATCAAACAAACCTGTATTGGTATGGGCATGCCAGTACAAAATTCCGGATATTTGTGTTTTGTTACTTGTTGATAAATCTTTCTTCTACGTAGCGCTCTGAAAGAAAAAATAAGATTATAGACATAGTAAATCTTGTGAATAATACAAGGCATTTAATAATACACGAAAAAGGCGGTGTAAGCCCAAACTTACCTTCGCACGAGTAACGGATTATGCTCGTTTAAGAGTTGTCCAATCTCCTGATGTGTCAGGAAAAATATAAGGCGTTCATCAGGTATATAATTCTCCGCAACCATCAAAGCACCAAGTCGTATATAAGCTAATCTCAATTTATGCAGAGCAGCTACGATTATACTCTTTGTCGTTTCTCTAAGTGTGACAGCTTTTCGACAAAAAGGTATAATTTTCCGTAGAACGAACTTGGTAAACGATGACATGGGTGTCTTCATAGATTCTACAGTTTCCTTCACGCTAAGTATTTTATTCACATAATTTTCTTCAAGAGACGTCGCTAGTGTCTGAAAATAATAGAAATAAGTACGCACATGTGTGTATACATATAATTTGAATATAATTTGATTATTACATACCTGAATAGTACTAATGATACTATCAGGTTTAAGTATCCAAGGTTCTGCGATAAAATCCATTTCATGAACACACCTATGACCGTGCGTTTCAAAAAAAGTTTTCAATTTTTCCATAGCCGGAGGACAATTTAATTCCAACCAATTCATAGCTTTTGTAGGCTCGATTTTGCTAAACTCATCTGCTTTGCCGCTTTTTCTGATGCATGCTGCTATTTTGCTGAGGGCAATTGGCACTTCAGAACTGATAACGTTGGTGCATGAACTCAACAAAATACCAATGTCCGCAAGATGATCAGATGTAAAATTATCGCTTCCTTTTGTTAAGAACGACAATGCTATCATTTGATACATTGCGCTCACCAGAGACGATAAGTTGTGACCAATGCCTATCTGAAATTTACGAATTTTTTAACAATATGGCTTTATTTTTCATAATAATTAAACAGTGTTTTATGATCAAATCTCAGTGAAAATATTCATTTAGATTCAATGCGATATGATGACTTACTAAAAAAATTTCTTTGTATTTCTTATTTAAAATATTATATAAATCACGAGGTTTGTCGAATGCATCAGCATCCAGAGTATATTTGGATAATATATCAACCATTTCTTTTACCCTCGCGTTATTCGTCCACATTGATTTAAACATGTCATATATCATATATATGCTCTTCCATCTGTTCATAATACCGTACTTTCTTATTGCTACCTCATGTACTTCAGGCGTCACTATTACACGTCCGGATATAGCTAGATCTATTATTTTATTCGACAACGTTATTTCTTTATTAATATCTTGTAAAGTTGTCTAAAAGAGGAAAAGGCGAGAAATAAATTTACTTATCATCCATAATAATTAGAAAGCCAAAAATCAAATACAAGAATTAAAATACTTACTTCCATATAATTTAACGCACATCTCATACCAATCACGTGAAGGTAAGCGCTTTCAAATTTATTGAATTTCGAAGCAACCGATATATTCAAAACTTTTACAAACGTGGAGATTGACAGAGGACTAATGGGATAAGGAAGCACTTCTTCGACATTGGCAAAAGTCATTACGTCGACGTCGCAAGGCACCCCTGAGTCTAACTCGTGCATTAATTCAAAATCTGTCCATGCATTAATGGTTGTAATGGGTCGTGCTTGCAGCAGATAGATCTCTTCACCGACAACCGCCCATTCTATATCTCGTGCAGATCCAAAAAGCGATTCCAAGCGCAACCCTATTTTAGCTAATCGTAGAGCTGTTGTATCGGATATCGAAATGTTCTTAATTTCCTGTTCACTTAAAGTACTAGTAATTACGCCATCGTCGTTCAGTGAGATCTTCTGCTCTTTATTTCCTACTGTCAACGCTCCTATACTCAAAGTGTCGTCCCATTTTCTATGAATCGTCAAAGTATCCGGTTCGACTGTCCCCGATACTACCGTCTGTAAAAAATATTAGAACGATAG